AAGAACATAAACAGAAGTTAGAAAAAAGGACGGAAATGAAAGTGAACACTGTCTTCAATCAGCTAGTGTAAATACACCAAAAAGTGTAAATAAAATTTCATACCCTTTTCCAATTGCAAAGCATAATTTGGATGTGAATTGTGAACCCATTTTGGCCCTTAAAATTATGAAATAATCTAAAATTAGCAAATGTAATAAAAGGCAGAAATACACAACTACCCAGTCTTGTTTTCATTTCTTTTTTTTAGCAAATTTCTTCCATTAAAAAGTACTATGGATAGAAAGTAAGAAAAGTGATTGTGATCTCAACCTGAAGGTAATTTTCTCTTCATATTTATGTACATAATGCTGAAAAATAAAATAAATGACTTTTTTTTACAGTATTTATATTTGCTTATAAAATTCTAAACACGTTTTTAACAGGTTAAGCAAGATTCTTTTTTTTTGTTTATTTTTAAACATGTCTGTACAGTCTGGCTATACACCATATGTTATCCACTTAAAATTTAAAAATAACCAAAAGGCTATTAAAGTGCTGCAAACTATTGCTTAATGACATAAGAAATGAAGTTGGCTGAACAATTTCCTTGACTTTACCACTGACATACGGTTTCTCATAAATGAGATTCTGAGCAGTGGGAGAAACCAGATATAGCGGCATGGTAATAAAAACATGCATTTATAGCATCCAAACTATTTATAATGGTACATAATATTTTATATTACCTGTGTAAAGCTTGCACTCTACGTTTCTTGTGGTACATATTTGATGCAATAAATACTGTGCTTAGGTCATTATTTGTTTGCTCAAACGTGCACCACAGGGTAAAATGACTATTTACATAATAAATAGCATTTCAGTAACATATACAGCGTTGATCTTGCTGAGCTGAAGATGGCTAAACGAAGTGCAGGATTAAGCAGAAATTTATAAAGGGTTCTTTTGGTCAATTCAGTCTTCAGGGGAGAAGCAATGCTCATTATTTAGGTTTTTTTAAATACAACAAACAGAAACATAACATTATGATTCCAGACATTTGAATGAAGTTTGCACCTACTAACATTTAGTGGCCTACCACCCCCAAAATGATGTACTTGGTCTAGGGGCTGGATTTGAAAACAAAGACACAAAACAAGATGAGCAAAGCACCTCCAATGATCACCTAATTACCCCTCCAGAAACATGGATGGAATTTAAGAACTCATTGTTTTCCTTGTGACCTTTTTTCATGCATGATCTCTAAGTGTAGCATGCCCTCATGCAAACCAAGTCTTTGTTCAGAGAGGAGGGCGATGTGATTGCCATCACTCCCGGTGGCATACCTGGTAAAGAGGTCCTTTAATCTATTCCCAACAGAAACCCCGTTTACAAAACTCTTCACATATAATAAACAACATATGGATTAAAAAAAAGATGAATCCACGAACAGATTTTGTAAAAATGTGACAAATGTGGCAGTTGAAATGCAAAAGAGTGGATACAATTACTACACTAAAGTGTTTCATGTTAAACAACCCAAATCATAGGCTTGCACCCCTTGGAACTGGTCCTCACAGTCTGAGTAGCTGTTTTGTCTCTTGTCTTCAGCAGTGTCAGCTGGTAGTGAGAACAGTAACCTCCTGTCATCTCCCCTTTACACAGAGTTGCAGTTTTCTGACAAGGGGTCACTGTCTTATTGTAGGCACTGACCTTAAGTAGATTTGTGTAAAAACAGTCAGTTTGGCATTGACCTCCTCAAGGAGTCCTATTGACAAAAATACATCACCTTCACAGGCTGTAAACAAATAGTAAAACCCAATTATTTTTGTCTGTTTCTGTTTATTTCCCTTTGGCTTTTTTATCTTTGTCTTCTTGCTCGTGTTTTTCCACGATTGGCTTTGTTACCCGATCATAGGAGGGTGGACAAGCTGCTGTGGACATGGTCAGGTCAGTTTTTTCCGTAATAGAATTTTCATTTATTCTGTCAATGATCATGTCTTCTTTTGCAAGAAGATTAACCCCACCTTTGATTCTATTTTTGTTATACATAAATGAAGCTTGTTTTACAGTTCGCCTTAAAAGGTAGCGCCTGTAAGCACGCTGAATAATAACAGCGGACACCTCCTCTTGTTTTCGTTTTAAAGTTGTAGTAATTGGCTGGTAGGAGGCCTTTGATGGATTAGACGCCATGAATCGTTCTTCCATCTGTATACGGAGAGCGTCCATCTCTCCACTCTCCCCCAGAACCCTCTTAGTAAAAGCAAATAGGATGTCAAGACAGTGGATCCGGTCACCACTGACCATGGGCAAATCCATGGCAATGAGCTGGAGTTTGTTTGGCTGTGGCAAATTGAGAGGGGGTTCAAGAGCAGCTGCAAACTGCGATAATTTTTCAAATTCCATGAACTGGGTAGCATCGGGGTCAAACTTCTCCCAAACCTCGTAGAACATCTCAAAGTCATCCTCACTCAGGGGCTCTGCACTTTCTTCAGTAGCAACACTGAAGTTCTCCAGGATGACAGCGATGTACATGTTCACCACAACCAGAAAGGATATGATGATGTAACTGACGAAAAAGAAAATCCCCACAGATGGGTTCCCACAGTCTCCCTTAACTGAGCTTCCAGGGTGAATTGCATCAGGGTCACAGTCAGGTGGTGCACTGTTGAGAATAGGTGCTAGCAACCCGTCCCAGCCAGCAGAGGTGGTCATCTGGAACAGGAAGAGCAGGAGGCCGATGTTAAACAACGCAGGGAGGGACATCATCAGAGCAAAGAGCAGCGTGCGGATCCCCTTCGCCCCTTTGATCAGACGTAGGATTCGTCCAATCCTGGCAAGACGGATCACTCGGAACAGGGTAGGGGACACAAAATATTTTTCTATCAGCTCTGCCAGAAACATGCCTGTAGATAAAAAAAGGAGAATGTCAACCAATGAAGACGTTATCTATTAAAATAACACTTAAGTTTCTGTCAAGGCTCTAAGGTAAAGTTCAGAGTATTGAAATTCAGTTACTTAATAAATTTGACATACACACACACACACACACACACATATAT